CTTTAAATAATTTTGATGATAACAAAGCTCCTTAAGTTATCCAAAGGATTTGAGCTTAAGTGTGCAATTAAAAATTCCAAAATATATCAAAGAAAAATCTAGAAAAAATGCAAAAACAACATGAAGAGTCAAATATAAAACCCTATATTTGACTCTTGCAATAAGAAGATTCGATACTAGTATTATAGATTTGACTCTATAGTTGAATATGAAGAAGACCATCTAGAGGAAGAGTCAACCCTTTGAAAGAGGATTCAACTCTTGAGGTATCTAAATTGACTCTCAAAGGGGAAGAGTCGGATATAAATTTCAGAGAGCTTAGGAATTTTGAGGTATCTAAAATTTGACTCCCCTCTTCAAGATTCAACTCTTAGTCTACATGTGGAAAAATTACCTAAGTTCCAAAATTTTTTAGAGGATCGACTCTCAATTTGAAGAGTCAAATCTAGACCTTAAAGATTCAATGATTTGACTCTTGGACCCAAGATTCAGGCTTTTGATTGTATAATAATAGTTAGTTTTTCAAATCTGATGAGTCTGTAAAGCATTTTAATGTTAATTTCAACTTAAGAATGATAAATAGGGTTGGTGGACACACTTAATAGTTTCTTAGACACTTTATTGAAGAAATTCAACAACCCACTTGAGCTTTCACTTGCCAACATTCAATTCTTTGTACTTGCACTTGCATATTTGATCATTTAATGATCTTGTCTTGTAATTCTATAATCTTATTTTGTGAGTGACTTCTTGTGTGTGCAATCTATTCCTTCAAAAGTGATTTTGTAGTGAGGTTTATTGGGTTAGATTGAAAATGGGTGAGATTGAGTGAAACCCATTTTCTTGTAAAAGGATTAGGTAGCTCCTTTAAGCTACTCTTGAGTATTAGTAGAAAGTGTGGATAAAATCCTTGATGAGTAAAGCTAAAGTAAAGGATTAGATGTCAAGTGGTTGGACCAAATAACCTTTAGAAAACCTTTGTGCAAGCTTTTCTTCTCTTTTCTCTTTCATTTCAATGTATGGTTACAAAAGGAAGAAAACTTTTTAAACTCCAATTCACCCCTTCATAGAGTGCATTGTGCCAACAAAGTGCATATCAATTGACTCTCATAAAGAAATTGGAACCATAACTTCAAAAACATCATCCTCTAATGAATATTTCTAAAAACCAACAGTTAGGTTTAATGTTCTATTAATATAGATTATGCATGTCAATCTTTAAGTTCATCTAACATCCATAATCATTTGATTAAGAAATTTGTACTTTCTAATATATATTTAATGATTATAAATTTTCTATAATAAATGTATTTTTATATATATTTAATTAATTTAAAAATTAATATGCATACTATATATGAATAGATTACTAAATCTAATAGTTAATTTTTAAAAATAATTATTAAAGTGTAATCTTTTTAAAGTTGAAATTTTAATTTTTTAAAATGAAGATTAATAAATATTATTCTCATATATATATATATATACATATATATATATATATATATATATTCAAAATCTAGTATCGCTTCAAATAGAACACTTTGCTGTGTTTGCTTATTCAAGGCAAGAGGTAAAAAAAAACAATACCACCGTCTGTTTTAAGGTTCAATTCAGTTGAAAACTTCAAAATACTCCAAAATAAAGTCAACTAATGCTCAATATGGTTTCAACTACAGAACAGCATTAAAGTGACAAATAAAATGTTCTTTAAATGATCAGAACGATAAATTTAATTGAAAAAAAAAAAAAAAGAATATATAGCAACAAAAAAGCAATATAACCTATCACCATATCGATAAAAGGATTGACAGAAATAAAAGACGGATATGATATATATATATATATATATATATGCAAGATGCATCATATATGCATAAATAGCACTAGTATGCTATAAAAAATGAATGGCAACTAGCAAATCCCAAATAAATTTCAACATCTTTCTTTTTATACCGTTAAAATTAAAACTATTAAAGCTGAGATGATTTCTTAACCATAATGTGGATAGTTACTTACTTGGAATTCAAGGAATATATCATACAAAAATCGTGCTGATATCGGAGTAGTCTGACATCATCGTCATTGCTAGCTAATTAGCGTCACAGCCACTTCCTGAATTGACAAACTATACCACCTGCATTAGGCAGTGATGGATGTTTCATATATTGAATTTTCAATTATCTTTTCAAAAATAGACTTCAATCCACTTAGTAATTAATAGAAAAAATGCCACAAATATAGATATTATGCTCTGACATATCACCAAATCAACTATCAGTCACGGAATTCTTCAGTAGAAATGATGTAACTAGATGGGAAAGGTAAATAAAAACAGGAAGGCTTTTCATATTTTTGAAGGGGAAAAAACATTGTATTACCTTGAGATTTGAAGGCATTTTGGGTTCTAAAGCCTCAACATAGTAACCTACATAGATGTTGTATTATATGGTGGAGGATGTTGCTTAATTAGCTCAGGAATAGCCTTCAAACCCTTGGGATCTTAAATTGGTTTTAAGCGGCTTAAATCCCTTCATAGTCATCAAAATCTCACTAACTGCACAAGTCAAAAACACCCAATCTACTGCCTACCCATTTGCAAATCTCAAAAAAAGAAAAAAAGAAGTAGGGAGATTTAATTAGAGATAGAATTAGAGTTTCATACTTCATAACTATTCTTGAAAGTTGAAATTGTTAGTAAAAAGAATATGTTCCCCACATATTTCAGCAACCAAATTTAAGTAAAAATCCAAAACACTGCATCTTTCCAGCAAATTTATGGACATGAAAGGGAGCTAATGAATATACTGGAAGAAGGGGATTACAGTTTGTTTTTATTTTTTATTTTTATTATTTTTTTTATTTGTAAAATAGGATGATAACTAAGTACTAGGATTACATTTTGTGCTTGACCCTTGGCATACGGTCCCAGCGCTTGCAAGAATAGAGCTTTTATAAGTTCTAGACTTTTCCATGCAACTCAAACCAATCACAATAAAACCATCCTCATTCGAATAGAACTACACAAACTCTCAATTCGGATTCAAATATACTACCAGCCAGCCTCTAAATCCCTTTCCCAAGTTAGAGTAAAGAAAATCTTACCTCTTATTCATCATACTCAAGCCAAAATCATCATGTTCGCTGAAAACAAAAAACGAACGTCAGAAACCGTCAGCAAAAAAAATTTTCTTTTACCTTCAGACGGTCGCTCCTGCTTTGCGGGTCTGCTGGAAATCCTCTCCCTTTCTTTTTTGTCTCTTCCTCCTCAGAAAACATCTTCTCTTGCCGGCACTCGGGACTGAGGCCACCCCTCATCTCTTCAATCTCTTCTTTCTTTTCACCTCCCCGTGATTGGGTTTCTTTTCTCCGCTTCGTCGAGCTTCAATTCAATGCCCACGATAACCCCCACCTCCTCCATCTCCTCCATTCTGATTCCCTTCACTACCGGCAGCTGGAACTAAATATGCCCTTCACCCATTATCTCTGCCCTCACACGCCTCCGCTCACATATTTTCTTCATTCAATCAGATCAGAACCCACTTCTCCAAGGCCGTTCAGCCCCTAGTCTCCCTCCCCGGACTCTTTTCCGTCACCTTCAAGATCCCTACGCCGGCCTTTCCCCTATTCTCCTCGCTCCGTTCGGCACCCATTCTCATACTCCAATCGGTAAGGGAGCCTCAGGGTTATGTGGAGAGTTATTCCACGTTACGTTATTTTCCAACTGATGGCCAAGTAATTAAGATTCATTAACTTGGAGAGCCTCCTGAACAGCTGACAATAACGTAATGTGGAGCCTCCACATAGCTCTCTCCTCGCTCCGTTCAGCCATGTAATCCATAAAATGCTGCAATTCAAACCCCACTCTATTCTCCTGGGAGTGGGAACCTTCCTGTTATACATTTGTAAAATAGAAAAGCGAGATAAAACAAAAAAGAGGGCATTCTAAATCTAATCAGTCACAGCATTTTATGCACTACAAGCCATACCCATATCCGTAGTGAGAGTAGAAATAAGGGGTAAGTAAGCTCTTCTAAACCTAATTAAATCCCATGTAATTGTTTC